TTCGCCCTCCCCGCCGCCCCCTCGCCATCGCCCCCCCCCCTCCTTCTCCCTGCCCGACGCCCTCGTCTCCCTCCGCCGTCACCCTCGCCCCCCCCCTCCTCCGCGGTCGACAACGAGAACCAGCGCTTCTGCAACGCGCTGCTCTCCTCGCCCTTGCTGAAGCTACGGGAGCCCATGCCCGCGGCACCCGCACCAGCGGCGGAGGCACTCCTTCCTCATTGACGTCGACGACGGCGGCGACGACAGCGACGATGGCCTCGACGACGACGACGACGACGACGGCGGCAACAGTGGCGGCGGCGTGGACTTCAACAACTCACAGTAGGAAGCAGAAAACAGGACTGTAATATTGGAGGCTTGAATCTGCAGCTGGCGCAGGGAGCAGCAACCTAACCCTACAGCCTGGTGGCCCCACAAGGGGACTGGCGGATCAGATCTCGCACCGCGGTGGGGCCCGTTCCGTTCCATTCCCGCCCCTTCCTTTCCAGTTCTTATTGCTGGATCACCCGCCATGTCTTCCTCCAATGTACGCAGCTCCCCTGTCCAGATTGCGCAAAACACGATTCGGGCATTGTTGGGAGCTCCAGGTCGTCTATGACACGCGTCTGCGGACAGAGAAAAACGCAACGCAGTGGGCAGGGACGGGGGGGGATGTAAGATTTGGCGCGAGCTCACCTAGCTTGACTCCTCCTCGCCTCCCCCAGCACCCCCCCTGTTCATACATCTCTTCCTCCGCCTCCCCGTCTACCGCTGCAAGTACCGCTGCCGCCACCGCCGCCGTTCCGATTCCGCCGCCGCTGCCGTCGACGATGCCGCCGCCGCTGCCGCCGCACCTGCCGCCGCTGCCGCCGCTGCCGCCGCCGCCGCCGCTGCCGCCGCTCCGCTGCCGCCACCGCCGCTCCGCTTTCGCCGCCGCTGCCGCTGCCGCCGCCGACGCCGCGCTCGGTTGAGACGCCCCCGCGACGCTTCCCCCCAACAGCGAGGCCCCCGCCGACGTGGCGGAGGGCGCCCCTGCGACCGCCGCCGATACGGCGGCGGCGCCGGCCGAGCCCGCCGCCGATGACATGTCCGAGGAGGACAAGGAGCGGCAGCGGCGGCGAGAGCGGCGATTTCGGGATTTCGGGGGCGGTTTCGGCGGCGTCGCCGTCGGAGGAGAATGAGCGGGAGGAGTGGTGAGGTGGAGGAGGAAGGGGAGGAGGAGGTGGAGGAGGAGGAGGAGGCGGAGGAGGAGGAGGAGGAATAGGAGGATGAAGAGGAGGAGGAGGAGGAGGAGGAGGAGTAGAAAGAGGAGGAGGAGGAGAAGGAGGAGGAGGAGGAGGAGGAAGAAGGAGAAGGAAGAGAAGGGGGGGAGGTGGAGGAGGAGGGAGGAGGGGAGAAGGGGAGGGGAGGAGGAGGAGGAGGAGGAGGAGGAGGAGGAGGAGGAGGAGGAGGAGGAGGAGGAGGAGGAGAGGGGGGGAGGGAGGGGGAGGTAGAAGGGGGAGGGGGTTGGGAGGGGCGAGGAGGACGAGGGGTGGGGAGCTGGAGCAGGAGGAGGAGGAGGAGGAGGGAGGAGGAAGAAGAGGAGGGGAAGGCGTAGGAGGCGAGGAGGAGGAGGAGGAGGAGGAGGAGGAGGAGAGGAGGAGGAGGGGAAGGGAGGAGGAGGGGAAGGGAGTAGGAGTAGGAGGGGGAGGAGGAGGAGGAGGAGGAGGAGGAGGAGGAGGAGGAGGAGGAGAAGGAGGGGGAGGGGGAGGAGGAGGAGGAGGAGGAGGAGGAGAGGGGCGAGAGTGGTGAGTGGGGGGAGGAGGTTGTTTGGCAGGAGATGTTGGTGGAGGAGGGGGGAGGAGTCTGTCTGTCTGTCTGTCTTACCCAATCGAGCTCCACATGTCTGACTCTACTCACTGCAAGCTCTGGGCCTCGTCCCGTGTCGCCTGATCTCAATCATTAGGGGTGCCCACGCTGCCAAGACTACACGAGAAAGTTACGCAGTGCTGCTGAGGTGGCCTCGGGAGCGGTTGAACGGCAACCAGCACTTCGTTGGTCTGCCCCACGCGGGGAGGGCCCACAGGCTATGAGATGGCAAGCTGCCCACCGGGCTCCTGGGCGGCGGGGGCACAAGGGCCAACTCCACAAACCACGAGCGCGGCTGGGCCCCTCACAATCTCGCAACCTCGTGCAAGTCGATTTCTCGGTCTTAACTGGACGCACCAGCTTGCCACAGGGCGCACGACCAGGCTTATTGTTGAAACCCGAAGCCCGAAACAACTAATCCACAACCTGCTCTACTATCACAAATCCGTAAGGGCTTCAACCCCATGCCGCCGGCCCCCCTCTCTTAGAATGGGACTTGCCAGATCTGTGCTGGGATGCCTGAACGCTGACGTGAAGCAATGTCGGGACTTCACGCGAGGGCCAACATTGATTTTCGAGGGTTTATGGCTTCGGTGGCGCGAATAACATGTAATTTACTATGGTGTATGGCTTTGGGGATGCGAACATTGCATAATCAACGAGGGGTTGTGGCCTCGGGGACGCACATGTCGTGTAGTTTACAAAGGTTTATGGCCTCGGGTTGGTGCGAGTATTTTGTGATGTTGCATGGTTTGTGGCCTCGGGGACGCGAATCTGTTGTAACCTGCAAGGGTGTGTGACCCCGGGGACGCGACTCTTGTATAATTTACGAGGGTGTATGGTCTCGGGGGCGCGACTTGTCACTAATTTACAGTAGTTTATGGCCTCGGGGGCGCGACTATTCATTTGTTAGCACAGGTTGATGGTCTCGGGGGCCCGAATATTGTATAACTTGCAAGGGTTCATGGTTTCGGGGACGCGAATCTGGAGTAATTTGCGAGGACGTATGGTTTCGAGGACGCGGATATTGCGTAATTGACAATGGATTCTGGCCCCGGGGACGCGAATCTCATGTATGTGTGCATGTCCCACGCCCCCCCAGGAATTTAGACAACGCGATTTGCTTTTTGGGCGTTGTGAGGCAACTGATTTGGGGCTCCCCCCCTCGCGCGTTCAGCAACAATTAACAGTAAGGACGCAGAACGCAGGACTGTAACAGTGGAACCTGGAAACTGCAACTGGCACAGGGAGCTGCAATCCTCACCATCGCAGCCTGGTGGCCCCGCAAGGGCGCTGGCGGATTCACCTCCTGCTGCAATCTCAATCTCAAGAGAGGTGCGGATCACGCGAGCGGAGGAATAGGAGGAGGAGGAGGGGGAGGAGGAGGAGGAGGAGGAGGAGGAGGAGGAGGAGGAGGAGGAGGAGGGGGAGCAGGAGGGGGAGGAGGAGGCGGAGGAGGGGGAGGAGGAGGAGGAGGAGGAGGAGGAGAGGAGGAGGAGGAGGAGGAGGGGGAGGAGGAGGGAGAAGGGGGAGGAGGGGGAGGGGGAGGGGATCGAGGAGGAGGAGGAGGAGGAGGAGGAGGAGGAGCACGAGGCGCAGGCGGAACGAGGAAGATGCGGAGGCGAAGAAGGCGAAGCGAGGATTACGTAGAGTAGGACGACGACGACGACAAAGCACCAACCACAATGACACCGACGATGATGATAATGATGATGGTGATGATGCTGCTGATGATGATGATGATGATGTTGATGTTGATGTTGATGATGATGGTGATGATGATGATGATGATGATGATGATGATAACGATGACGATGACGATGCTGATGATGATGATTAGGATGCCGCTGGTGATGATGACGATGATGCTGACAATGGTGGTGATGATGCTGATTGTGATGATGATGCTAGCGATGTTGTTTACGTTGATGTTGATGCTAATCATGCTGTTGATGATGCTGTTGGTGATGATGTAGAAGGAGGAGACGATAGTGATGTCGGTGATGCTGATCACGCTGATGATGACGATGTTGATGGTGATCATGAAGATGCAGATGATGTTGATGATGATGATGCTGATGATGGTGTTGGTGGTGGTGGTGATGCTGGGAATATGAGGGTGATGGCTGTGATGGTGCTCGTGATGCTGATGGTGGTGGTGGTGCTGCTGCTGATGATGATGGTGGTGATGCTGGTGATACTGGCGTTGCTGCTGTTGAATTCCCATTTCTATAGAGTATGTGCTGTTGATCTCCACCTCTGGTAAACATCGTTTGTTTCAATTCATGTGCTTCTCCTGGAGCTCGCACACGGTTTTTGCAAGGGAAAATGAGATGCCACCAACTTGTGCCCCTAGCCCCTTGTGTACAATACCTGCGGTTTCCGCTTGATGTTGTCTCACATGTTTTCCAAAACAGCGTTCTCGAGCGGGACTTCCTCACACTTTAGCGCTCTCGTGTAAGGTCATCTTCGCAATGTATTCAGGCGCCGCGCCGTCGACACTGAGGAATCACGCTCTCGCTGTGGATGTCCTCACGATTTGTGTGGAAATCGCGCTATCGCTGGAGACATCCTCAATATTCATGCAGGACGCACGCTTCAGCAACCCGCCTGCCCCTTGTCCCTTCCTTACGCCCGTGTTCGCTTCCCCTGCCTTAGGGGCTGCGCGAAATACACGTTGGAGGTGAGAAAGAAATACCCCAGGGGGGTACGATAAAAAAAAAAAACGACGAGGGTGGGTATCGAGGGTTTGGAATATACGTGTTGAATGGCACGCGAGCAGATAAGAACGACATGTACTAAATGTATAGTTGTTGTTAATATTGGTGATGATGTTGATGATGCTGTTTACGTTGATGATGATGATGATGCTGATGATGATCATGCTGATCAGGCTGATCATGATGGGGATGGTGATGGTGGTGGTGACGGAGATGTTGATGATAGTGATGATGATGCTGATGATGATGATGATGATGATGATGATGATGATGATGACGGTGATGTTGATAGCGATGGCGATGGTGATGAGGAGGAGGCGGAGTTGACGGGGGAGGTGCGAGTTCTAGCGCTTTCGCTCCCCTCCTTTTTTCTCGTTCCGCCTCTTCTCTTGTTCTCAAAGGAGAGCCTGACGCAGCTGCGCAGCATCCTCTCCGGCAGACGTTCGATCGACCTCCACCTTGAGTTCTTGTACCGCAACAACCGTTCCGATCTGCTCATGCTGGAGATCGTCGTCACGGCCGTCGGCGCCGACATCGTCGTCGTTATCGTCGTCGTTGTCGTTGCCGCCGTCGTCGCCGTCGTCGTCTTCATACTCGTCGTCCCTGAGGTGGGAAGGGGAATGAGGACGAGAATGAGGCCCCTGCCAGATGTTCGTAGGAGTTCTTAGGGCGTCCTACGGGTTCTGGGGGGATCGGCTTGCACACGATGCAGATCGTCGTTGTCAGGCGGTCGTACCTGCGTTGGTGTAATGGTTTACATCTTCGGAGGTGAAGAAGCAGGGAGGGAGAGGTCATGAGGGTCTTGAGTGGTTTTAGTGGTTTCTGGGGTTGTTTGATTTGTTAACTACAGGCGTCGTCGTCGTGTCGCCGCCGTGATTGTCGTCGTGAATGTCAGGCTAATCCTGAGGAGGAGAATTGGGAGCAAGGGGACTGAGGAGGAGGATCAGTGTGCAAGAGGACTGTAGAGGGCTCTCAGGGGTTCTCGAGGGCTTTCGGTGGCTCTCAGGGGTCTCAGGAGGAGTACGAAGACGAGAGAGAATGGGCAAGGAAGGAGACAGGGAGGAGGCAGGCAGATGGTGGAGCGTGAGGATGGGTGGAGGAGCAGGATGACCAGAAAACGGAGGATGAGGAGGACGATGAGGAGTTGTAGGAATCACAAGTTGGGATTGGCATGAAAAAGGGGTGATGAGGAGCAGGAGTACGAGGATGCCGAGAAATGAGGATACGCAAGAATGTTATGACGCGGAGAGGTGTGGGCGAGGACGAGGAGGTGGTGGCGGTGGAAGAGGAGCACGAGATGGAGGCGGACAGTGCGAACGAGAATGGGAGGGGAGTGGTCACAGCCGTCCCTGCCGAGGGCAGGGATCCTTGTACGACGCCAGTCGCTGCCTCGAAGAGCTTGCCACCCCCCCCCGCTGAGCGCAGGCGTGAGGTCGGCAAGTCTCCAAATGTAGTGGCCTCGTTCTCCGTTGCTTCGTCGTCCTGCTCATTGCCCCCACTGTCCTCATCTTCCTCATGACTCCCCGTCCTCCTCCTTCTCCTCCTCATCATCATCATCAGCATCATCCCCCGACTCATAGTCCTCTTTCTTCTCCCCATCCTTTGGCATCCTCGTCTTCCTCCTCGTCCTCCCTCGTCCTCCCTCCTCGTTTTCTTCCTTTGTCTCACCCTCGTCCTCGTCATCCGCCTCATCCTCTTGTTGTTTCGTCTCGTGGTCCTCGCTTGCTTCCGCCCTTTCTCGTCTTCGTCGTCGTCCATGCGTTGCCTCATCCCTCCTCATTGGCCTCGTCACTGCCGCTGCCCTCGTCGCCCGCCTCGTCCTCGTTGGCCTCCTCCTCCTCGGCCTGGCTATCCTCCAAAGCCCACTCCGATTTTCCGAGCCGGATGCCTTCGGTATCCCCGTGCCCCGCGCTCGCCCAGGAGATCATCAAGAACTCGATTGATTCCAAGAATTCGGTCACCCACAACGGCACGGTGATGGCCCACAGCCTGATGCAGTGCGGCACCACCAGTGACGTCTTCCTCCGCAAGAATCTGGACGGCTGGGCACGAGAGACAGCGCGGCGCGACGGTTCCCCCCCCTCCGCGTCCCCTCGCTACTCTTCAGCTACTCTCTCCCTGGCTCCCTTCGGTCCTTCCCTCTTCCATCGTTTCTCCTCGTCCTGCCATGTCCTGCCCTCGTTCATTGTGTCCTCTCTCCTTCCCTCCCTCTCCCCCTCCCCCTCCCCCTCCCGAGGAGTGGCTCTCCAAGGCGACCAATTGGGCGAAGTTCAGCGCGACGGCGTCCCTTGGCGTGATCCACAAGGGACACATCAAGGAGTCGAGGATGAGAAGGATGAACAGGGAGGAAGACACAGATCGAAGTAGGGAGCGAGCGAGGAATGGGGCGGGATGGGGTGAGGAAAAATTTGAGAGGGTCAATGAAGGGATCGGTACGGGGGGAGAGAAGGAGAGAGAGAGAGAGAGGGAGGGAAATCGAAAGAGAGACAGAGAGGGGACACTGAAGAGCAGTGACATGACAGTGTCGAGACGCCAAGGGTATCGTCAATGTTTATCCTTAATTCTTCCCTCCTGCTCTGCGAGTCGAAGTCGATATTCCCTCTCGCCTCCTCCTCCCCGTCATCCCCCTCTTTATCCCCCTCCATCCTCTCTCTCCTCCTGCCTCATTATCCTCCTCCTTTTCCTCCTCCCTCTCCTCCCTCCTCCCTCCACCACCGCCATCATCATCACCATCATCACTATCATCTTCATCATCACCACCACCACCATCATCATCATCATCATCATCATCATCATCATCATCATCATTATCATCATCATCATCATAACCATCATCATTATCATCATCATCCTTATCAACATCATTATCAACATCAGCATCATCATCAACAACTGCATCATCATCAGCACAATCTTCCTCACAGCATCATCATTACCACCAACATTAACATCATCACCATACACATCATCATCATCATAATCATCATCATCATCATCATCAACCTCATCATCAGCATCACCATCATACACATCGTCATCGTTGTCGTTGTCGTTATCATAACCGTAGTCGTCATTACCGACATGACCATCATCATGAGCATCATCATCATCATCATCATCGTCAACATCATCATCATCATAACTCCATCATCAGCATCATCATAATAATCATCATCATCGTCATATTCATCATCATCATCATCAGCATCCGCATCGTAAACATCATCATCAGCATCATCAGCATCATCATCATCATCCGCATCATCATCATCAGCAGCAGCATCATCATCATAATGCTGATCATCATCGCTCCTCCTCCTCCTCCTCCTCCTCCTCCTCCTCCTCCTCCTCATCATCATCATCATCATCATCATCATCATCATCATCATTCCCTCCTCCTCCTCCTCCTCCTCTTCCTCCTCCTCCTCCCTGCTCCTCCTTCCTCCTCCCTCCTCCCCCCCTTTCCCTCCCCGCTCCTCCTCGTTTCTCCTCGCTCCTCGCTCCCCCCTCCAGCCGATCGCAGGAGTCGAAGTCCATCCTGAGCACCTACCTGCCCGGGCCCCAGGCCGGCGGCGCGCGGGGCAGCCCCTACTCCGAGGAGCCCGCCGCCCGCGCCGCCGCCCTCCGCCGGCGGTCGCCGCCCCCCTCCTCCTCCTCCTCCTCCTCCTCCTCCTCCTCCCCCTCCTCCTCCTGGACAGGGCGCAGAGCCGCTGCCCGGAGACCGCGGACTTCAGGAGTCCCGAAGTCAGGCGATTGCAAACATGGATCAAGGGGGCGTGGATTAGCGACGGGCCCCGTTTCCATGGGGAATCGCGGACTACCGCCGCCGAGCGAGGCGGCACTTGCCGCATTCGGGGGAGGGCACCTCCCCCGATCCACGGATTTGGCGACCGCGCGCCAAATCTATGGATCGCTAATTCATGTTTGCGCGCCCCCGATTGTTTCAGTTGACAGAAGGGTTCGCTGGTGTGGTGTTCTTCTGATTTCAGCGAGTCCGATCAAAGATATCGGGCAGTGCTTCACAGAAGGAGCACCCATGCATTTATTTATGTATACAGTTCCACATTATTTGAACGCCCTTGGTGGTGGAGGGTCTTGACGTGTACACGAGCTTGTGGCCAGCACAGTATGGTGTGATACGGGTTTGTTGAACAATCACATGTCATATCAAAGCAATTGATCTGCATATGACTCGACAGGGGGGGCGACAAGAGCGACATTTCAAATCATTGACGGTGCATAATATGTGCAAAACGTAGGCAGGGGGTAGATGGTAGTTTCTTATAGAACAGAGAATCCATGTAGTACAGGATATGTATTGTTTGAGATATGACGCCGACCAAGCCGCGTTTGGGCGAAAACCTGCGGGCGAAAACTTGCAAATGCCAGCCAACGAGTGTGTGGTCCTTCATGGGAGCCTCAAAGGATCCCAAAACTCCTTGCGGCTGGTTTGGGTCGACATTTGGACGAGAATTTTGGCGAATGGGTGAAGAGGGGTTGTCAACATCTGGGTGCAATCAGGTCGAATCTACATTTCTGAACGTCACAGAGGCGCCCATGAAGGCTCACCTAGCAGCGCACGGGGCAGGAAAAACGAGAGGCCCATGACACGACCACGAGGGGTGGAAATTCAGAAAGCCTCATGCGGGAGCAGCTAGGACATGCCAGGACACCTCTGGCCGAAGCCGCCCGATGTCGCCTGATGGGCAGTTCTTTGTGGGCGCCTTTGTTGGGAGCGATGGCTACGAAAGCTCGGGACTTATCCTGGCGAAGGAACCAGCAATATGCATCTTCGGGTAGCGTAGAACATGTCTCTCTCCGTCTACGAAGGTTGCCACCGGGACATTCGGTGGAGCTCCGAAACGTGTGAACGGTGTGCCTGAAGGGGGGGCCGGTGCCATGCGACCTGTGCCGGCACGGCTTTCGGTGGGGCTCCTCAAGGGGCCTCGAAGCGCGTGAGTAGTGTGCCGACATGTGCGGGGGGGCGCCATGAGGACGTGGCCACTGGGTCCTTCGGTGGAGCTCCGTATGTGGCCATATAATTTGTGAGGGGTGTGCCGACTTGGGGGGGGGGACGCCGTGCGCACGTGGCCATTGGGGCCGTCAGTGAAGCTTCCTATGGAGTCACGAAGCGCGTGATGGGTGCGCCGATATGGACGGGGGACGCCATGCGCACGTGGCCACTAGGGCCTTCGGTAGGGTTCCCCGTGGGCCCACGAAGCTTGTTGGGGGTATGCCGACATGGGCGGGAGAACGCCATGCGCACGTGAAGGGACGTCATGCGGGCCGGACGGCGTTCGGCTTGCAAGAGAGCGCCTTTTCTAGTGAGAAGGATGGCTTTCAGGGACTCTCGAAGGGAGGACTTTGGACGTGTGTGTGTGTGCATGTGTTGCAGCATCGTTGCCGCACCGTGGGTTTCGTATGGTCCCTCCTCCCTGCTCCCATCTCCCTCCAACCCTTCCTCCCCCCTGGTTCCCCCCCTCCCCCCGTCCTCCACATGCTTCTCCTTCCTGGACCTCTCAGAAGCCAATTTTCCAGAACAATCCAGCTTTGATTTGCCCTTCCTCCACCTGCGCCTCCAGCATCGCCTCATCGTTTTCCTCCTCTCCCTCCGTCATCCTCTTCGCTGGAGGAGCCTGTCTGGAGCCCGCCAGCCAGCTTGCCTGTAGGCCGCCTGGATCATCTCAGGAATACAATACTTCTTCAAGACTTTCGGTAGCTGGAACGACCAGAATTCGTGACAGACGGATTTGTTCTCTGTTGGAGTTTCAAGTTCTCCGTTGGGGGGGGGAGAGAGAGAGAGAGAGGGAGCGAAATATATACACGAACACAGTTGTCTCCCGTCCTCATCCTTCTTTTTGTTCCTCGTCATTCTCCCCCTCGAGGGCGGAGCCCTCTACGCCATGGGCCTCATACATGCGAACCACTACGACCCGGACACGAAGGCGTTCCTGCTGGAGCAGCTGCACAACGCTCAGGCCACCGAGGCGCCCAAGGGAGGGAGGGGGCAGGTCTAGTTCTTTGTTCGTTATCCTCCCCCGATGCCATCCTTCTCTCCTCTTTCCTCCTTCCAGTTCTTTGTTCGTCATCCTCCCCCTTGCCTTCCTCCCCCCTGCTTGTCGTCTCTTCCTCCCCTGCCTTCTTCTCCTGTTTCTCACTCTCCTTCCTTCTCCTCCTTTTCCTTTTATCTCCCCCCATCCTCTCCCTGCATTCTGCCTCCCTCCTCTCTCTCTCTCTCCTCCTATTCCTCCTCCATGAGCTCCACTCCAGTGGTTGTGGTGCCGCCTACTGTAGGTAGAGCTCGAGGGAGGGATGGGTAGGGAGGTATTGTTGGAGTATTGTTTGCCTCTTCTCAGAGTCCATGCAGCGAGCAGTCACGCATGTGTGAAGTTTTTTGTCAGGCTGCACGTGTGTTCATACGACGTGGGATGGGGTCGAGGGGAGAGAAAGGGAAGGACGAGGACGAGGGGGAGGGAAGGGTGAGGGGAGGCGGGGGGAGATGGAAGGAGGGCGGAAGTAGGGGAGGGGGAGGTGGAGGGAAGGAGGGAGGAAGCCAAGGAGGAGCCAGGAGAGAGGAGGGAGCGAGCTGGACGAGGAGGGAGGGGTGCCTCCCCCCCCTTCCCGAGGTGTTGCAGCACGGTGCCTGCCTGGGCATCGGGCTGGTGAGCATGGCCACTGCGGACGAGAACACCTACGAGGAGCCTCTAGCCCGATCGTCGTCGCGGCCTCTGGTCGTGGTCCTCCGCCTCCATCGTCGTCCTCCTCCCTCGTCGTCCCTCGCTCCTCCACCTCTTGCTCCCTCCCTACCTCCTCGTCCCCCCTCTCTCCTCGTCGTCACTCCCATGTCTGCCTCCCCCTTGCCCGCTTACCCGTCCCTCCTCATTATCATTCATCATCACCACCAGCATCGTCCTCATCGTCATCCATCTGCACAGCACTCCATCCGTGTTCTTCCCCCTGCGTATCGTCATGTGCCTCCTCCTGGCCTTCGTCACCATCTGACGCATCATGCTGCAAGTACAATGTTCTCTCCAGTTTATCACCCCTCCTGATATTGCTGCTGCTGCTCATCCTCTCTTACTCTCCCCTACCGTCTGCCCCCTCCCCTATTTCTCCTCGTCTGCCTCTCGTCCCCGTCTTGATCATCGTCCTGCCACCTCTCCTTCTGCTGTTTCGCCCCTCAGCCTCCCTCCATCATCCTTCCTCGAGTTCATCTCCCCCCACCTTCATACCTGCAAAAGCGCCGGCCGTGGGAGGAGGGAGGCCTCCCCGCCGACCGCGAGGGGCACCCCTCGTGGATGCATGTCGGCCATGTAATCGCCAGGCAGACCCGAAGCACCGCTCGAGGGCGCCTCCGGCGCAGCTCCGGCGCAGCTCCGGCGCGCTCCGCGCGCCAGGGAGGCGGGTGCAGTGCCGCTCCAAGGCCGGAGGGTTCCAAAGGGGGTTTTTGGGTAGGGGGTTTTCCAGAGAGCCCCCCAGCGGCCTCGGAGCCTCGTCAAAACAATGGGTGCGAAGCCCCTGGAGGACCCCTCCTGGAAAACGCCCTCCCCAAACACTTCCTTTGGGAATCTCCGGCAAAAGAGCTCCGACCGTGCCTCCGAAAGAGTATGTCTGTGCAGTTCTTCTCAGGAACGAAAGGAGGACGTACACGTACATGAATCCACGTTGGTTTCGAGAGTACGCATAGCGCAAATGTTCGTATAGCGCGGCCAGCCTCGCGGATCGAGGGGCCGTGTTCATGTACATAGCTGGGCGCGTACGTCCTTTGTGGGTTCCCTATCTTCTGTTTCTGCCACCACCTCCTGCAGAGCGATTCGCAGTGGTCTCGCGCGCGCAATTTGATGGAGCACTCTGTCCGCAAATCGCGGAGGTCAGTCCAGACCCGTCGCTCATCATCGTCATCATCAGCAGCAGCATCATCAGCATCATCATCAGCATCATTATCATTAGAAACATGATCATCGGCATCATCAGCATCATCAGCATCATCATCATCATCGTCATCATCGTCATCGCTATCATCATCATAATAATAATAATCATCATCATCATCATCTTCATCATCATCATCATCATAAGCAGCATCATCATCAGCAACAGCGTCGCCATAGCCATCATCACCATCAGCAGCATCATCAGTGTCATCATCATGATCAGAATCATAATCATCATCATAACCATAATATGTGTCAGCATCAGCAGCATCAGCATCAGCATCATCATAACCATCATCGTCGATGATCGCCACTTCCTCCAACTCATCCTCCCTGTCCCTTCTCATATCCCTTCTTCTCCTTTGTTCTCGCTTCTCCTCCCGTCCCCTTCATCTTCATCTTTATCCTCGTCGGACCTCGCGTTTCCTCCTCCCCCATCTCTACACCTCATCCTCCTCCTTGGTTTCCTCATCCTCCTCCTCCTCCTCCTTGTTGTTCTCCTCCTGGGGCTACGGGTCTGGGCCCAGAGCTCAATGCCGTGCTTTGCAATGGTTCCCGCACAGCACCACACGAAACGGATTTAAAACTGTTAAGCTCATGTGAGTGTAACAGTTTGGCGGGGCACTCGACTGAGGAACTATTCCAAAATATGTTAGAGTAGGTCCACACCCGAGCAGATAATAACGGATGGGCCAGCACGCCTTTCCAAGCCGAGTGCGGCCTCCAGCACCATTTTGGCTATAGCCATTGGTGCTGGATTTGCTCGGCCTTTTGCCCGTTCCCACCCTGGCAAAATCAGGGAAGCTAGGGGGAGCGCCAAGGTGGTCACCTCGGTATGGGCAGACGGTTGCCTGTCGGAGGGGCCATCGCGGCGGCGGGAGGTCTGCAGCCGCTGAGGGCTCGTCGCATTCCCCAGGCCGATCCCCGACATAAGCAGCTACGCTCCAGGAAAGGAGTCACAGTCTTTGTTCTTCTTAAGGGCATCTGCACTACACTACAGTCCTTGTTCTCCTCCTCCTCCTTCTCCTCGTCCTCCTCCTCCTCTTTCTCGCTCAACATACATTCATTTCCCTCCTCCCCCTCCTCCCCCTCCTCCTCCTCCTCCTCCTCCTCCTCCTCCTTCTGCTCCTGCTACTCCCCCTCCCCCTCCCCCTCCCCCTCCCCCTCTCCCTCCTCCTCCCCGCCCTCCGCCCCTCGCCCCCCTCCTGACGAGGAACTGAAGCAGACCCTGTACACGGACACGGCGGTGGCGGGGGAGGCGGCGGCTTACGCTATCGGCCTCGTGATGGTGGGTTCCGCCTCCGAGAAGGCGGCGGGGCGAAGGGCCCGCCCAGGGGCGCTTCCTCCTCGTCCTCTTGTGCCCTTCCGCTTCAGCCTTCTCACCCTCATCATCGGAACCATCGGCGCCATCCTCGTCAGATTTGGCTCCCTCTCCTCCTCCCCCTCCTCCGCCCCCCTCCATCCTTCCCAGTCCGTTTCCCCCCGTTCCTCCCTCTTTCTCCCTCCGTTTCCTCTTCCTCCTTCTCCTCATCCACCTCCTCCTCCTCCTCCCTCCTCGCCTCCTCCTCCCTCCTCGTCCTCTTCCTCCTCCGATTCCTCCGCCTCGTCCTTCCCACCTCTTTCTCCTCATCCTATTATTCTTCCTACTCCGCCTCCCCCTCGTCTTCCTCCAACCTCCTCTTCCTCCTCCTTCTCATCCTCATCCTCCTCCCCCTCCCTTCCTCCTCCTCTTTCTCCTCCTCTCTCTCCATCTTGCCTGTCTCGGTCTCTCTTGCTCTCTCTTTCTCTCTCTCTCTCTCTCGTTCTGCCGCCTCCTTTCTCGGTCTCCCTCCGCCGTCTCGGCCGCCTTCTCTTTTATACCGTTTTGCAGTATGGAGGCAACGCGCTTCTCCTTTTTCTGCCGCGCCAGTGAGAACAACATATATTACACGTACACTGACATATACATATCTATACATATATATATATGTATTGTAAACCGTCTTGTTGCACACATGATGTGTCCAGGTTATCTTTCGATATGTTTGTTTCAATCGGTGTGTTGTCTGCCTTTGTTATAAAGTTGTACTCTCGCCGATATGTTTGCCACAATTCCCGTCTGCCAGACAGTCGCCGTACAACGGAACAACGCCGTCGCTAGAGCGGCGTCAGCGGTGCTGCATCCTTGCGTGCGATCAGACTGTATGCCGCCGTAAAGTGCTGTTCTCGCTGGTGCGTCTGCCGCACCTGATCCTCACCAGGAAACCTCCGTCCGAAGGAACGATGCTGTCGACGCGGTTGCGGCAGTGGTGGTCGCACTCTTGCATCAGTGAGTGTGATGATCCCGCCGCGTGGTTGGCCACATTGCTGTGCTTCCGTCGATCTCCAATGGGACCTGGGTGTCGAGGCAGCGCTGGCCGCAGCCCTGCATCGGCAAGAGGGCTGCTCTCCCTGCAGCGTTGTCCACCTGCAACGTTGTCCCTGCAGCAGGTTCCGTTCAACCGGACGGCGCTTTTGCTCCGCTTCTTTCAGTACATGTTTTGTCAGTGCCGTGCCGTGCTTGGTTGTCCGTAGAGTATAGGGTCGGGTGTCGGGAAGGAGCGCTAGTTTATCACGATTCTGCGACTGGGCGCTGGCGCAGTGGGAAGGGATGCGGAGATCGATTAGGGCTCTGGTCGAAATGTGTTACGATGCCGCATTTGGTTCGCAACGTCGAATCTCAGAGAATGCCAGTGTCTGGGCAACGTAAGGAGCGGGGACGATTCGGGTTCGAGCTCCGAGGTTCAAGGCTCGCTGACGTTTTCGTCGGTCCTCGGCGGCTCTCCAGCCTCGGGATGCTGTGCAGCGGGCGCGCATCGCCGAGAGCGTTCCTGGGGTCCCGGGATCGTCCAGAGCGGCTGTCCGACAGCCGTTCGCGATATTAGCAGACCGCAATATCTGGCGACATTAGCAGTTGCGCCTCGAGCTTGGGGGAGCCACTGTCAGACATCCTGCGGGCATACCGAGCGTCGCACACATTGCGAGAAGGGCCTCCGTTTCCGATTGCTCCGTTTGGGATACGTGCGCAGACCCCCCTTTTGCGTGACCCCCCATCACCGGCGACCCGAAGAGCGTGGCCAGCCACTCCATCTTTCCTAGCTTGTGGGCTGTCCTTCGGCTACCCACGCCGCCTGCGCCTCCCCGGGAGGGGGGGACCTCGGGCGGGTGTCCACAGGGTGAGACCTGCAGCATGTCAGGCGATCGCAAACATGGTTTAAGGAGGCGTGGATTAGCGACGGATCCGTTTCCATGAGGAATCGCGGATTCCCGCCGCCGAGCGAGTCGGCACTGGGGAGAGCACCGACCCCGATCCATGGATTTGGCGACCTGGATCGCTATTCCATGTTTGCGCGCCCCCGAACCATGGGACGGAGATCCGGTGCCCAGGGCAGGCCCTTTCATTTTCCCATGCTCGCCAGACATTTCCCAGTTATCGCGTGGCGCTGATCTGACATCTTCGGCTGCGGCCAGGGTTTTTCGGACGTCTTCGTCGGTTCCTGGCGGTTTCCCAGCCTCGGGATCCGCCTCAATAGCTGCTCCTCGCCGAGAGTGCTCCCTAGTGCCCGAATCGTCCGGAACGACCGCCAGAGACGATTTCTATCCAGAAAGCTAATGCCCAGAAGGAGCCAGCTACACTCACCGCCCACCAATCCACCCCAACCCAACCCGAAGGCCCCGATTTGCCCTCCATTTCCAGTGGGGTGGGTCGGGGAACACTGAAACAGCACATATCAAGCTCGTACCACCACCCCCCAACCCGAAATTTGGGTCCTCGGGTCGGGTTGGGGTAGTCCGGTAGGTAGTCATACACGTAGAAGGAGAGGCCTTTCATCAGGGGGACCTTTGGTGCATTGCTTTCGAGGGGCGCGGGGGTGCCAAACCCAGGCACACAGGCCGCTGCTGTCGCACCGAGCGCAACGATCTGCTGGCCGCGCACCGCAGGGCACTCTTGTCTAAAGGGCACTCTTGTCTCGGGTCACTCGTTTCGTGGAGCTGGGTGTTGCCGTTTACCTCGTGGCCCAAGCGATTATCTTTGCCGATGGCCTTGGCCAGATGATGGTACTTGTTTGCCCAGTCAGCGTTGACGCTTTGAATGTTTGTTAATGTGTTTCATCTTCCAGTTTCCATGCGAGGTGTGTCTGAGTTTCTGTGGGCTGATCCTCATGTTTCTCCCCTCCTTTCCTCCTCGCTCCTCTTCTTCTGCTCGCTCCTCCTCAGCATACGCCTTCTCCTCCATCCCCATCCTCTTCCAAGAAGGTAATCTCGGAGCTCCTGGCCTACGCCCACGACACGCAGCACGAGAAGATCATCCGCGCCTGCGCGCTTGCGCTGGCCATGATCATGTTCCGAAGGGAGGAGGAGGCGGAGACGCTGATCCAGCAGATGGCGCCAGGGATGGAGCAGGGATCTCCATCCTCATTCTCCATCCTCATCCTCCTCCTTCATCACTTCTCGTCCTTCCTCCTCTTCCCCATCCTCCTCCTCCTCCTCCTCCTCCTCCTCCTGTATTCCTCATCCGCCTCCTCCTCCTCGTCCTCCTCCTCCTCGTCCTCCTCCTCCTCCTCCTCCTTCTCCTCCTCCTCCTGCTCCTCATCCTCCTCCTCACTTTCCTCCTCCTCCTCCTCCCTCTCCTCCTCCTCCTCCTCCTCCCCCCTCCCCCTCTTCTCCTCCCCTCCTCCTCCTGCTCCTCCATCCTTCCTCCTCCAGCCTCCTCCTCCTCCTCCTCCTCCTCCTCCTCCTCCTCCTTTTCCTCCTCCTTCTCCTCCTCCTCCTCCTCCTCCTCCTCCTTCTCCTCCTCCTCCTCCTCCTCCTTCTCGCAGCGCTGCGGTAGCGATCCCGCGTCGCGGCGCCCGCGCTCGGGCGCCCGCCGCCGCGGCCGCGCAGGCCCTCCTGGTACCACCGGGGGACTTGTGGACCGTTTTCGAGGAGGAGCAGGAGGAGGAGGAGGAGGAGGAGGAGGAGGAGCAAGATGCCCTCGGAGGAGGAGGAAGAGGCCACCATACCATCCTGCATCCCGAGGCTCAGAAGGCCTCATCCCTCTTCCTCCTCAGCCTCGCATGAGGACGAGCACATTCTTCCAGGATCCGTACCCAGATTCCGGGGATGTCTCAGGCTGTTTGCCAGCTTGAGACCGGAATATCTCTCTTTGGACTATTGTGTTCATCATTCGTTCACTCACATCCTTCCCTTTCTCTCCATTCAAACGCACTCATTCGCACTCGGACTTACTCATCAGCACCTCTTCCTCGTTCAGACTGACTCATCACATTCAGACCCACCCAAATCCAGACCTGTTTACACCCAGTCCAACTGACAGTCAGGCTCACTAGCACCCAGACTCGCCCACCCCCAGATTCACTCAAGCTCAGACTACCTCGCACCCAGGCTTACTGATAACTCATATTTGTATGCTTCACACTTAAAGACCCACCCACACTCAGACTCACTCGCACTCAGACCCACTCCCACTTAGACTCGCTCGCACTGAGACTCACTCATTCATATATATATATATATATATATATATATATATCCCTGGGGGCGAGGCCGGGGGCCCCAGAACAGGTGCCTCCACCCCCCATGGGGGGACCGGGGCTCATTTTTCCTGTGTTTTTACATGGTTTCCGCGTCCTGGGCCTCGGAGGCCGCCGCCTCCGACCCCCCATGGGCCAGGAGGGCCTCCAGAGGCTCCCAAGACGGCCCAAGCGGGCCCCGAGTCGCCGAAAGACCGCTCCAGGACGCCCAAGATAGGCCCAAGACGGCCCGAGAGGCGCCCCAAGGCACTCCACGACGCAAGACGCTTCTCCAGAGCGCTTCCAGAGGCCGAAATCGTCAATTTTACGAAGGTTTTCGACCGATTTTGGCCTTCCAGCCTTTTCGGCTGTCCGACGTTCCACGACGGCTCAATAGGCCCCCAAGAGCGCCCCAAGACGGCCCGAGAGGGCCCCAAGACGGCCCCAGAGTCGCCCAAGACAGCCCAACAGAGCCCCAAGACGGCCCCAAGATGCGCCCAAGAAGGGGACCACGACTCCAAAATTCGACCCTCCGGCTTGAAGAGTGCCCCAGGAGGCCCCAAGGAGCCCCCAAGAGGCCCCAGGATGCCCCCAACAGGCACCCAGGAGGCCCAAACGAGGCCTACAGAGGCCACAAAACAGCCCCGAGGAGGCCCCACAACGGTCCCAAAACGGCTACCGAGAAGCTGCGAAACTGCCTTCACGACGTCCCCGACAGGCCAACCACGAGATCCAAACCAACACCCATGAGGCCTCTGACCCACCACCCAGGGCACGGTGGCGGGAGCAGTGACAGCACTTGTGCACAGCATGTTCCGGCGGGAGCCTTCCGGAACACGCTGCAGGAGGAGGAGGAAGATCAGGAGGAGAGAGAGCTGGAGTGGGAGGAGGAGGAGGGGGACGAGGAGGAGGAAGAGGCCTCCCAGACAGCTCCAAGATAGCCGAAGAGGCTTCCAAGAGGGCCCTGGGCGGCCCACGAGGGCCCCAAGGCGGTGCCTGAGGCGCCCAAGACGGCCCGAGAGGGCCCCAAGACGGCCCCAAGAGAGGCCCAAGAAGGGAAACACGAACTGAGAATCCGAGCTTTCTACCCCGAGAGGTCTCGGGAAGTCCCAAGAGGCCCCCAATCGGATCCAAGAGGCCCCCAAGAAGCTCCCAAGAGGGCCGACGAGGCTCCAAGAGATCTCCCAAGGTGGCCCCAAGAGGCACAACACATTGTTTTACGATTGGGCTTTGACGTTTTTTTTTGCCTTTTGGCATCCCGATGCTCCAAGACGGCCCAAGAGGCTTCCAATACCGCTCCCATATAGAGGAAGAGGCCTCCAAGAGGGCCCCAAGACGGCCCGCGAGGGCCCCAAGACGGTGCTTGAGGCGCCCAAGACGGCCCGAGAGGGCCCCAAGAGCCCCAAGAGAGGCCCAAGAAGGGGAACGCGACCCAACAGCAGAGCGGTCCCCCCACAAGGTCCACAGGAGGCCGAAAGAGGCCCCCAAGTGGTCCGACGAGGACCCCAAAAGCTTCCCCGAGGGCCCACAAGGCCCCTGAGAGACGTCCAAGAGGTTTTAAAATAGCCCAAGAGTGCCCCAAATGCATCAGAACTGCTTCCAGGAGGCCCCTGGGAGGCTTCCAGATTGCCTCAATCTGGCCGCAGGTTGCCTCAAGTCGGGCCTCCACGCAGCCAAGACGGCCAATGACGGCTTCAGATTGCAGAACCGATGCCCCCAAGGGACCCTCAGACGCCCCCCCAAGAAGCACCCAAGAGGTGCCTCCAACAGCCAGTTGACGAAGCATGCGGAACACCCCAGAAGCTCCTCAGATGCCGTCGCGCGCCTGTGCTTGATAGCGTTGTCCAAGATCGTCCAGCGCCCCCCCGGCCTGGGCTAGAACCTGAGCGCGCGCGAAGCGCGCGCGATGGTTCTAACCCAGGGGCCCGAAAACAGCTGCCCGACCCTCCATGCGAGTACCGGGGCTAATTTTCGCTGTGTTTTCACAGGGTTTCGGCGTCCCGGGCCTCGGAGGCCGCCGCGATGGTCCCGGACATTTTCCAGATCCTCGGCGCGGGCTCCAAGACCATTCCGCAAAGGGCTCCAACAGGCTCCAGGGCAGCCCAAGAGGGCTCCAAGACGGCTCCAGGAACGACTGCAGGGTCTCATTTTTCTTTTGTTTTCTGCAAGACAGCTCCAGGAAGACCGCATGTCTTCTGAGGATGGCTTCCGCCTCTTGCCCCGAGCATCCCAAACTGCCTGAACGGTTCCCACTCGCCTTCCTCAAACCCAGCGCTTGCCCAAGCGCGTTCCGGACGGTCTTCGCCGGAACGCGCTGGAATGATCACGCGCTGCGGTTTCCCATGCCAACGTCCTCGGACGTGGGCGCCCTGCCACGAGCGCGTTCCGGGAAGATGCTCCTGGAACGCGCTGAAAAGATATGGCCACATCTCGGGGACGCTCCCGGCACTGCTGCCCCAGCCTTTCTGGGCAGCCTCCACAGCGCTCCAGGAGGGCCCAAGACGCCCCCTAGGAGCCCCCAGAATGCGAAAGGATGGCCCAAGACGCTCCCGAGCAGCCCAAGTCAGCCTTCCGACGGCTCTCGAGGCTCCCAGGTGGCCTCCAAGAGACCCCAAGAAGTCTGATAGGTATCGCGGTACGGCCCGGAGAGGCCAAAGTCGTACATGTTCAATGTTCTTTTTAATGTTTTTGGCTTCTCGCGTTTTCGAGCTCCCATCGGTCCAAGAGCGCCGAAAGCCTCCATGGGGGTACTGGAGCTCATTTTCCCTGTGTTTTTAAAAGGGTTTCCGCGTCCTGGGCCTCGGAGGGCGCCGCCTCCGACCCCCCATGGGAGGAGGGGCGGCCAGGGAGGTCCAAAATAGTCCAGGAGGGCCTCCAGAGGCTCCCAAGACGGCCCAAGCGGGCCCCGAGTCGCCGAAAGACCGCTCCAGGACGCCCAAGATAGGCCCAAGACGGCCCGAGAGGCCCCCCAAGGCACTCCACGACGCTTCAAGACGCCTCTCCAGAGCGCTTCCAGAGGCCGAAATCGTCAATTTTACGAAGGTTTTCGAACGATTTTGGCCTTCCAGCCTTTTCGGCTGTCCGACGTTCCAAGACGGCTCAATAGGCCCCCAAGAGCGCCCCAAGACGGCCCAAGAGGGCCCCAAGACGGCCCCAGAGTCGCCCAAGACAGCCCAACAGAGCCCCAAGACGGCCCCAAGATGCGCCCAAGAGGGGGACCACGACTCCAAAATTCGACCCTCCCGCTTGAAGAGTGCCCCAGGAGGCCCCAAGGAGCCCCCAAGAGGCCCCAGGAGGCCCCCAAGAGGCACCCAGGAGGCCCAAACGAGGCCTAAAGAGGCCACAAACAGCCCGAGGAGGCCCCACAACGGTCCCAAAACGGCTACCGAGAAGCTGCGAAACTGCCTTCACGACGTCCCCGACAGGCCAACCACGAGATCCAAACCAACACCCATGAGGCCTCTGACCCACCACCCAGGGCACGGTGGCGGGAGCAGTGACAGCACTCGTGCACAGCATGTTCCGGCGGGAGCCTTCCGGAACACGCTGCAGGAGGAGGAGGAAGATCAGGAGGAGAGAGAGAGCTGGAGTGGGAGGAGGAGGAGGGGGACGAGGAGGAGGAAGAGGCCTCCCAGACAGCTCCAAGATAGCCGAAGAGGCTTCCAAGAGGGCCCTGGGCGGCCCACGAGGGCCCCAAGGCGGTGCCTGAGGCGCCCAAGACGGCCCGAGAGGGCCCCAAGACGGCCCCAAGAGAGGCCCAAGAAGGGAAACATGAACCGAGAATCCGAGCTTTCTACCCCGAGAGGTTCTCGGGAAGTCCCAGAGGCCCCCAATCGGATCCAAGAGGCCCCCAAGAAGCTCCCAAGAGGGCCGACGAGGCTCCAAGAGATCTCCCAAGGTGGCCCCAAGAGGCACAACTCATTGTTTTACGATTGGGCTTTGACGTTTTTTTTTCTGCCTTTTGGCATCCCGATGCTCCAAGACGGCCCCAAAGGCTTCCAATACCGCTCCCACATAGAGGAAGAGGCCTCCAAGAGGGCCCCAAGACTGCCCGCGAGGGCCCCAAGACGGTGCTTGAGGCGCCCAAGACGGCCCGAGAGGGCCCCAAGAGCCCCAAGAGAGGCCCGAGAAGGGGAACGCGACCCAACAGCAGAGCGGTCCCCCCACAAGGCCCACAGGAGGCTGCAAGAGGCCCCAGAGTGGTCCGACGAGGACCCCAAAAGCTCCCCGAGGGCCCAAAAGGCCCCTGGGAGACGTCCAAGAGGTTTTAAAATAGCCCAAGAGTGCCCCAAATGCATCAAAACTGCTTCCAGGAGGCCCCCGGGAGGCTTCCGGATTGCCTCAATCTGGCCGCAGGTGGCCTCAAGTCGGGCCTCCACGCAGCCAAGACGGCCAATGACGGCTTCAGATTGCAGAACCGATGCCCCCAAGGGACCCTCAGACGCCCCCCCAAGAGGCACCCAAGAGGTGCCTCCAACAGCCAGTTGACGAAGCATGCGGAACACCCCAGAAGCTCCTCAGATGCCGTCGCGCGCCTGTGCTTGATAGCGTTGTCCAAGATCGTCCAGCGCCCCCCCGGCCTGGGCTAGAACCTGAGCGCGCGCGAAGCGCGCGCGATGGTTCTAGTATATATATATATATATATATATATACTTATACCCACTCGTACTCAGGCTGACTAGATCCAGACTCACTAACACTCAGGTTCAATGTTGTCTGGATCCACTTACGCTCCAGCTCGTTCACACTCAGATCACCCACGTGCAGATTCAATCGCATTCTGAAGGTTCACGCGCACGTGGCTATTACGATATAGTCGGTGTGGCACCAGGGTATTTCACATGCCTGCAGGCGCCGCAAGAAGAGCGGGCGTAGCAACGCCATGCGCGCTTGCGTTGCCGCGGGGAGAATGGCAAGAGGAAGCCATCTGAAGCCCTCCGCGCTCTTCCACTTGTATTTCCCTCGTCTCTCCTGAAGAGGAAATTTCTGATGTCATCGCTGTCTTCGTCGTCGTTGTTGCCGCGCCTGTCGTCTACGCGGACTCGCTCTCACGCCCAGATGCTCATAGACGGAGTTATTCAGCGAGACGTGGCAGGAGTATGACATGCACATATTGGGACTTCCGTGTCAAGTAATTCGGGACCCAGCGGAATGTACACATTGGGGAGCGGGTCGGGAGTTGTGGTGTTTTTGGCTGCAAATTTGCACCGGAGGATATCTGGAGGTGCGTGTGTTCATGTGTGTGGTGTGTGGTGTGAGGTGTGTGTGTGTGGTGTGTGTGTGTGTTGGCGCGTCCCGCCGGGAACGACACCCGCGCTTGCGACCGCCTGCGTTGCCGGTGAAGTGTGTGTGTGTGTGTGTGTGTATGTGTTCGCGCGTGCGTGCGTGCGTGCGTGCGTGCGTGCGTGTGTGTGTGTGTGTGTGTGCGTGTGCGTGTGCGTGTGCGCGTGTGCGTGTGTGCGTGTGTGTGCGTGTGTGTGTGTGTGTGTGTGCGTGCGTGCGTGCGTGCGTGCGTGCGTGCGTGTGTGTGTGTGTGTGCATGTATGTGTGTCTGGGGTGTGGGTGTGGGTGTGTGCGTGCGTGCGTGCGTGCGTGCGTGCGTGCGTGCGTGCGTGCGTGCGTGCGTGCGTGTGTGTGTGTGTGTGTGTGTGTGTGTGCGTGTGCGTGCGTGCGTGCGTGCGTGTGTGTGTGTGTGTGTGTGTTTGTGTGTGTGTTTGTGTGTTCTGGGGTGTGGGTGTGTGGGTGTGTGCGTGTTGGGGTGTGGGTATGTTGGTGTTGGTGTTGGTGTGTTTGTGTGTCTGTGTTGTGTACGTGTGTGTATTATTTGTGATGTGTGATGTGTGATGTGTGTGTGTGTGTGTGTGGGTGTGGACTTGGGCCCAGGCTGGGCCGTTTCAGAGGTTTGCTGGTACTGGGCGGGCTGCCTTCCTGTCAGGTGCCAGCCGTTTTAGGCAACCACGTTGCCCTTTCCCGTTCCCCACTCGTCCACCTCTTCCCCCCTTTAGGCATCAGCGCGCGGTGTCCTCGCGGATTTCGCGGCAGAGTTTCGGCGACGCTCGCAGGGACAGCGTCTCCTGCTCGTGTGGCGGCAGTCGCGTTGGTCTGTCACGACACCGCGCTGAATCGGTGCGACAAAAAACATAATCGATCCAGAGAGCCGCGGAAGAGACGGGGGTCGATTGGACCGACGTTCGCGCGTCAATTTCCAGCGCACGGCCGCGCGTGAGCGTCCTCTTTTTCCACGCTGTATGCCACGTTGGCGGCCCGCGCAAGCCGCGGTGTAAGGTCGCTGTGTCTTCCCGCGTGGGGCCCGCCTCCTTTCGCCGCCCAGGTGCTGGACAAGGACGCCATCCTCCGCTACGGCGCCTGCTTCTGCATCGGCCTCGCCTACGTCGGCACCTCCCAGAACGGCGCCATCCGTAGGCTTGGCGGCGAACTTGGGGGGAAAGTGGGAAGGGGCGGGCCTTCTCATAAGGCTCGGAAGGCCTCAGGTTTATAAGCCTCCCCCGAAGACACGGAGAATGTTTGCGAACGCGCCAGGGGAAGTTTGATAAGCCCCGCGATTTTCTGAGAGGGCCTGCACCCTCTCATCTCCCCCCCTGGGTGAAGACACGTGCCCGCAGCCGCGGTCTCGCGGGCCGGGCCCTTGGGCCGCGGCCTCGCGGGTACGGGGCGCGCCCCGCGCGGAGCGCATCCGTGCGACCGCGCATCTGCGGGACCGCGCCCCGGAAGTGAGACCGTGAGGGCGCTGATGCGGATACGTCGGAGTTTGTTTTTTTGTCGTCCGGCGAGAACCAGGGTCATCGGGCCTGCCCCCCCCCTCCCCCCCCCCAGGATAACCTATCCTTGCCAGTTGTGCAGGTCCGGGGTGGGGGGGCGCGGGCACGTGCAGGGCTGTCCACAGCGCGAAGGTTAGGTTATCGGCCGGCCCTCTCCCCCCCCCGGATAACCCAGGTTTTCGCCGATTCAAAAAAACACTGCTTTTCGGCCGCTCGTGAGGCTCCTGCACATCTCGGTCTCCGACGTGTCCGACGACGTGCGGCGCGCGGCCGTCATCGCCCTGGGCTTCGTCATGTGCAACGCTCCTGAGCAGCTGCCCGGTGTGGTGACCCGCCGCGCGGATGGTGTGCGCGCCCTCAGTCGGGGTACGCGCTGACGGGGGTCAGCGATCACGGGGTAAGGGATAACGTCACCGCGCAAGGTCGCTACATCATCGCGCGTAAGACCCATCTCTTTTCGTTGTCCATTTGTCAGAGGAGGAACAGGTGCCGATGCCGTTTCCGCAGTTTTGTGGTCGGTTCGGGGTCCGAGGTGTTCGAAGGTTTTCGTAGGTGTTCGGCGGCTTTCCAGCCTCGGGGTGCTCCCCAGCAGCTGCGCCTCGCCAGGAGCGTTCCAGTGGGACCCAGATCACCCCCGACCGAGCGCCAGGTAGCTGATCTGTGACCCGAAAACCACAGGGCAAAGGTGCCGATATCCGCTGCCTTTTCCTCGTCTTCGCCTTTTGGGGCCTCCGGGGAGGCCCTCGTCGCCACGGCTGGATTAGCTCCTCGAATTGCTGGTCAGAGCGCAACCCGGGAAAAGTATGGAGAAGCGGTATCGGTACGAGCTGACACATAGCGCTTACACCTATGCCCCCCCAGAGTTTTCGGGGTGGAATCCTGGGGTGCTACGGGTGTGAGTGTGTGTGTGTGTGTTGTCGGATGGGTCCTTGCTCGAACGGGAGCCCCCGGGGGGGTCCGACAATTTGCACCCATACTTAAAGCGCCTTCATCGCCTTGCCCTTCTCGATGCCTCCTCCCTATAGGATTTGGCGTGTGCTGATCGCTGATCAAACTTGTTGTCCCCCAGCCAATCCTCTCTGGCCAACCCCCTGGTTGGAAACCACGCAGAGTGCCCCCCCACCCCCCGATCCCCGCCTTCGTCGGTATCGTTTTGCCAATCCCCATCTCCATCCCCTTCGAGACCCCCACCAAATTAGTTACCACCCCAGTTTGGGATACACCCCTCGAAACTCGAAGGGAACGACCTATATCCCCATCTAGGCGGGTACATCGGCCAGTGGGGCCTGGGCCACGCCGCTGGGGATGGGGTTCGGTTAAACGATCCCCGCCTTCGGCCGAGGTGGGCTCGCGAGCTGCTGCGTGGCTGGCCGGGGTTCTCGCGGCCCTGGCACGGGCTGGCCGGGGCTCGGCGCGTCCCAGGGCCGGGCGCAGTGTCGTTCAACCTGTCCCCGTCCCCACCAGCCTCGGCGTCACCCCAACATACCAATATTAGTCCCTCTGCAAGGCGAATCTTCAAACAAGGTCAAGACAGATAGTCTGGGGACGATTGTTCGAGTATTTGTTGGACATGTTTCGGGTATTTTTTGAATATTTTAAATTTTCATCCAAAATCCGATTGTAGGGGGTCCAACATTCGATTGTAGAGGAACATGCCCGACCTAATACTCATACTGTGTGTGCGTCGCCCCCCCTAGGGGCGACGCGCGTACCGAGAAATCTTGTAGTATATACGTCGTGGCGGGCTCTTTCTGGCCACCGCTCGGGAAACGATATAGTACAAGATGGGTACACCATATGTTCGGGTCGGACGCGCGCCTCCAAGGAGACTCCCCCAGTTGGGGATAGGCCCTCGAAGTCCGAAGGCGACATTCTATATCCCCGTCTTGGTAGGCATGTCGGCCAGTGGGACCAAGGCCATGCCAGCAGGGATGATGTTAGGTTACAGGATGCTCGCAAGCCTCAGATCTCCGCGCCGGGGGGTGTGGACGTCTTGCCCCCCCGAGGTTCGAGGATTGGGGAGCTCGGGGGGCGGCAGCGCGGGCTCTGTGTCTTGGGCCTTCGCGGTCGTCGGCCTGGGCAGACAGGAGAGAACCTAATCCATGCTTTCAGGAATTATGTTTTCCCGCCGAGGCCTCAAGTTGGCTGTGTGCATGTACATCTGTAGACAAGACCAGGTAAGTGCGCATGTGCACATACACATGGATTACTGGCAGTGTCTGGAAGTATTGCATTATGTTGCACCCCGCAGTTGCGGATAAGAGAGATGGGCCAGGCATGGGGAGGGTCGCGTGTGGGTCGCGGGTGGGTCGCAGGTGGGTCGCGGGTGGGTCGCGGGTGGGTCGTGGGTAGGTCGTGCGTGGGTTGCTTGTGGGTTGCGGCCGGGTCGCGAGTAGGACGACGAACAATAAGAAACAAACACATAAACAAACACACAAACAAACAAACAAACAAACAGCAACAACATCACTCATTTTAAGATGTGTTCCGCTCTTATCTGTCCGCGGGCCATTCAACACGTTTATCCTAAACCTTCGGTACCCGCTTTCTTCGTCTTCGATCGTGCCCCCTTGGGGGTACATCCTTCTTACCTGCAACGTGTATTTCGTGCAGCCCCTGAGGCAGGGGAAGAGCGGACGGATGGAAGGAAGGGACAAGGGGCGGGCGACTTCCCGACGCGCGCCCGAGCAATAGCGCCATTCCCGAATAACCCGTGAAGCGTGATTCCTGAGTTTCGAGGGCGCGGCGCCTCAATACATTGCGAGGATATCCCACGCGAGAGCGCGATACTTGTATACATACATACATATATATATATATATATATATTGTGAGTAAGTCTCGCGCGACAGCGCGATTTTAGAGTAGCTGATGAGGAAGTATCAGGTGGGAGCCGTTGTTGTTGTAAACCGCGGGCCTGGGGCACTGTTTGGTGACATTGGGGGGGTCAACCATATTTGCTTTTTACGAATGAGAATGCAACAACGACAACAACGACAACCGCAACAACATTCATTTTAAGACTATTCGCTCCTATCTGCTCACATGCCAATCAATACGTATATCCCAAACACTCGGTACCCGCCCTCGTCGTCTTCGATCGTACCCCCTTGGGGGTACATCTTCCCACCTGCCACGTGCATTTAGTGCAGCCCCTAAAACAAGGGAAGAGAAGACGGGTGGAAGGGGGAGGGAGAAGAATGGAGTACGAGAGAAATTTGCAGGAGGGAGGCCAGGAGCAGAACATCAAGTGGTGGAAACAGGCGGGCAGATCGGGTGGGCAGACTCATAGAAGGCATGTCGGGAAGGCGGGCCCAGCCGTCTAGGTCGAGCAGGCGGATCATTGAAGCGTGGGTCCTGCATGAATCGCGAGGAAGTCTCAAGCGATAGCGCGAGTCCCAAGTAATCCTGAGACAAGCCAAAGCGAGAGCGTGATTCCTGAGCGGCGAGGGCGCATCGTCATAATAAATGGCGAGGACGTCCCACGCGAGAGCGCGATCCGTATACAAAGTGTGAGGAAGTCCCGCGCGAGAGCGCGATTTGGTAATACATCGTGAGTACCTCCCAGGCGGGAGAGGCTCTTAATGTTGTTGTTGTTGCATGCCTGGGCCAGCAACGCAGTTTGAGCCCCGAGACTTTCCCTGAGAAACAAAACAGGGTGCGGGCCTCGGGGAAAGCAGTTCAATTGAAATATGCAATGGTCACCAGAGTGGGGATCCAAAACAATTATTTTTCAGCACTGAGAGTCCATCACTTATTTTTCATTGTTTGCCATTATCCGCTCGCGGGCCCTTCCACGCATATATCCCAAACCCTCGATACCCGCCCTCTTCGTCTTAGATCGTACCCCCTTGGGGGTACAGGCCTTTCTTACCTGCAACGTGTATTTCGTGCAGCCCCTAAGGCAGGAGAAGAGAGGACGGACGGAAGGAAGGGACAAGGGGTAGGGAGGAGGATGGAGCATGAGAGAGAGAGAGAAGCAGCAGGGAGGCTAGGAGCAGAAAGCACGTGGCAGAACCAGGCGGCTGATCGGGCGGATAGACCCTAACGATCAGTCGAAAAGGCGGGCCCAGGCGGCCAGTTCGTGCAGGCGGGCTGTTGTTTCAGTCAGAGTGTAGGGGCCGAACGGTCATGTACTGTCCCTGGGTGCGTGGCTGAAGTGAGATTCCGCGATGTGGATTATTGTTGTTGTTGTTATTGTTGTTGTTGTTGTTGTCTGTCTGTCTGTCTGTCTGTTTGTTTGTTTGTTTGTTTGTTTGCTTGTTTTTTTTTGTTTGTTTGGTTTGTTTTTATGTTGTTTGTTGTTTGTTGTTGTCGGTGTTGTTGCTGCTGCTGCTGCTGATGTTGTTGATGTTGTTGTTGTTGTTGTTGTTGTTGTTGTTGTTGTTGCTGTTGCTGTTGCTGTTGCTGTTGCTGTTGTTGTTGCTGTTGCTGTTGCTGTTGCTGTTGCTGTTGCTGTTGCTGTTGTTGTTGTTGTTGTTGTTAGTGTTGAACATTATTTATTCTAAAAAATAATTATTGTTGGGCCCCCTGGTGCGCGCCCCCCCTGCGCCGCCTAGGCCGCAGCTACATTTTCATCATTTTCGTGAGGAAGCCTCAGAAAAGAGGGTGTGTACAGGATCCGGTTGTTTTGTTGTAATCCGCTTTCCCTTGCAAAAAACAATAGAAAATGACATTTCTTGTTCTAATATAATCAAATTTCAAGAATCCCTTGCAAAAAATAAGGTAAAGTGGACATTCGCGCGCGCAAGACGAAATCCTTCCAAAACCTTAGTGTTCGCAGCGATTTTAACATAAAAACATCAAAAAACCAATGGTTTTTCAACAAAAAAATGTCAAAATCTCATCCCGCGCGCTCTTGCGGATTCGTAGGAAACCCAACACTTTTTAAACATTTCTGTCAAACGGGCTTTTGCGAGCAACTTTTTCGAACTTCTGCGACAACGGTTGCGCACCTGCCAGGGCCATCATCCCTGTCAAATAATACCATGCGGGACACATTCGTTTTTTCTTCGCGCGCGCACGCCGAAATCTCCAAAAACCATTGGGCTTCTTAAGAATTTTAGCACCGCGCATCATAAAATCACACGAATCGCACCGTAGGTCCTCGAAAAACACCTGCACGACTTTTCAAAATTTCTACCCGCGCGCGCTGTCCGAATCCTAAAAAAACCAATGGTTTTCCAACATTTATGTTACATGAGCTCGCGCGAGCTACTTTCGCACGCTCTTGCAACGGGGTTCGCGCGCCTGCCAGGGGCCACAATCCCTTGCGGTTGCGCCATAGGTTGCGCCCTCGGCCGCCGAGAATAAAACGTCCCCCTATTGGTTGCGCCATAGGTTGCGCCCTCGGCCGCCGAGAATAAAACGTCCCCCTACTGGTTGCGCCATAGGTTGCCCCAGGAGGCCTTCAAGAGGCCCCAAGAGCCCGCCGTGAGGACCCAATAAGCCCCCAAGAGGCCCCAAGATGCTTCCAAGAAGCCCCCCAAAGCCCCTCAAGAGGACCCCAAGCGGCGCCAGGAGGCTTCCCCCCTTCCCCAAGAGGACCCCAAGCGGCCCCAGGAAGCCTCCGACTGATCACTGGCACATCCGTAGCCATCTCGGATCAAGGTATCGCCTGTGTTCTTGGATGGTCCATGGCTTTGACGGCGAAAGCCCTTGACGAGCAGTATGGCCCGGAGCTGTCGCGGCCTCCCTTGGCCGACTGCGAGAGCCCGTATTATTTGCATCAGGCGCTCGTTGCAAAGGGTATCCAGGTCAGTCACCAGGCGTGCAAGACTTGGTGGGGCAAGTATCGGGTTGTGCCTGGCAAGGTTAGTATTTCTAGCGCCCAGGAGCTGGAGGAGCAGCACGGTTCTGCCATCCGCCACCTGGGCATCGAGTATAATACAGCTTTCAAATTATGCGGGGCGCTCCGACAGTTGGATCCACCACTGTATGTGACAGATCAGGTCGCAAAGATGTGGCTACTGCAGTATTCTTCCAAAGAGACGCTTGTCAAAGTGCAGAACGCTGGCCATCTGGAGACCTGGTATGGAGAACGTATTCGCAAAGACATGCCCGAGGGGACTACTGACGGGGCCGTGTTGAAGCAGTGGCTCCTGGGACATTTATCTGTATCTGCTGACGCCAGGGTATGCCAGAAGTGGCTCAGCACGGAGTGGGGCGACAAGGGAGCATTGAACACTGCCCAAGCTGTGGAGGACTGTATAGGCCAGCGTCTTCGACTCAATCAGTATCGGGAGAGCTTCGCCGATGAGGCCGCCGCGGAGGTCCTCTCGCAGCTTCTCTCGGAGAGCGATCCTCCCGCTGCTGTCAGCGGCATGGTTTTGAGGCAATGGTACGTGAAGTATCACCCTGACTCTGGACCTTTGCAGTACGACACGGCTGAAAAGCTCGACGCGGCACTTGGTGACCACATGCGCGCGGTATATCCAGGGCTGAAGTACCACACGTTGCATACCGCGTTGCGTATGCGACGGAAAGCTGTCTTGGTGTCCCACGGGGTGTTGAGACGGTGGTGCGATGTGTATGCGTCGGTGAGCTCCTCAGTGCAGGCGGCGGCTTCATCCGCCCAGGCCGTCACCAGGCGTGTATTGAAGCGCCCGGCGGCGCAGGTCGCAGGCGTGGTATTGAAACGGCCAGCCGCCACGGGATCTGTCCGCGTGGGCAAACGGCCTGCCGCGGTCGACTGGGAGGAGCCCGTATCGAAGCAGCAGGCCACGGCAGCTTCTTCCTCCACAGATGTGGTTTGTATAAAGCTGCTGACGGGTGAGGCTGTAGAGGCGGCATGCGGCAAGCGGTATCGAGAGCAGGTCTCCGACTTGGGCCTTGGCCTCAAATTCCCGAATATGCAGGTGCGTCTGAAGGCCTGGGGGTATGAGGCGGGTCAGTATGTCTTGGGCTCAAGTCGTATTTCCGTATCTCCTTCCATATACACACGCGCTCCCGTATTGCTGTCAATGGCAGGGCAGTGGGGCGAACAGACTGGGGAGTATACCCCATCCGACGAGGAGGTGGCCGAGGGTATGAGGCGCTGGGAGATCCCACCCGGCGGGCAGCGGTCGGTATGCAACTGGCTCAAGCAGCTGCGCGAGAACACGTGGTTCGCGACTGCAGTGTACTTTCCGTGTATGTGGCAGGAAATCATGGGTGTATGCCCCTGCGTATCGACGCCGGAGAGTACGCGTGAGTCCAAGGTGAACGCCACGGTCGAGAACCAGCGCCGTATTGGAGGCATCCAGACCCCAGAGTGGATGGCCTTCGACGTATACTTCTACCCTGGCTTGGTATTCGGCAACCTTTCTGGTTTCGTAGATCTACCCGCGACGTATCTTGGCGCACTTTCGGACGTATTCCAGCGGCTGTGCACCCAAGCTGGTATACCGAACTGGAGAGCGCACGTCTTCGTCGGGCCCGGCGGCTGGGTGTATGCGGGCTTGCGCAGGCTGTTGCATCTCCTGGGTATTCACGTGCACTCCGAGGTGGTATCAGGTCTGTCGCACAGGCGCATGGCGAGCCTGGACGTATTTGTGGCAACACACACGGGACCCACGGGTATTGAGCCGCAATCTATGGCTCTGTGGAATGCCTCCCACGACGTCAACGATGGTATCACCTATTTCCCGAAGCAGGACCATTGGTGGCACATGCCAGTATGGCGTTCTTGCGGGCAGTCCCAGTATGGCAATGTCATGGATTACCAGGTGGATCTGCGTATGCCGGCGCATGTCCAGGGCGTCCTGGCGGTATTGGCGCCCCTCGCACGCACGGGCGATGTATCCGTGAGGAGGCGCATCGGCACCATGCTTGGACACTTGGCCCCTGATGTATTTCTGCCAGGAGCCCAGCTGGCAGCATTGCGCCCCATCCGTGCCATCAGGGACGGGCGTATGCCAGAAGATGACGAGCACACGAACTCGTCTCTTTAGAGCCGCGGCGGGGAAAAGACGGTGGGTGGGCGTGCAAGCGCCGTTCCCGCCCCTCCTTCCGTTCTCTCTTCTCTCCTTTCCTCCTTGTCCTGCTCCTCCTCCTCCTCCTCCTCCGGCGGGGGGCGTGAGGATCCGGCATCGCTCACAACCATCGGGACAACCATCGGGACAACCATCGGAACAACCATCGGGACAACCATCGGGACAATCATCGGGACAGTCATCGGGACAACGATCGGGACAAGCACAACCATCAGGACAACCATCGGGACAATCATCGGGACAACGATCGGGACAACCACAACCATCAGGACAACCATCGGGACAACCATCGAGACAACCATCGGGACAACCATATCCTCTCTCTCTTGTGTATTCCCACATCCCTCAGGAATTTGCCCTAAAGATGTGATCAACTATCTTGTGAGTACGTATCATGTGTATCATGTGTATCATGTACCATATGCATCATATGCAACAGATGTTCTGTGGAAGGCTTAACAACTTCTGTGGGTTAACAAGGCTTAACAACTTCTGTGGGTGTACGAACGTAGGCTTAACAACTTCTGTGGGTGTGTACTCCACGCCAGTGTAGTAGCCACGGTCGTCCGCAGGCCACGAAGTGAAGTGTCCGAACGTCATAGGGCGGGAAGCTGGGTGTGGGTGGTGGCGAAGAGTCGTGTGGATATTTGGTAGAGCTTGCACTGCCCCCCCACAAAGTGGGGGTATTGGCTGGCGTCGCATGAAAACCCTGGCACTGGTGAGAACACTGAGCGTTCGGGTAAAGTGATTGTTGTTGTCGTTGTTGTTGTTGTTGTTGTTGTTGTTGTTGTTGTTGTTGTTGTTTGGCATCGTCCCCCCCGCGACCCGGCCCGCGACCCACCCGTGACCCACCCCGCGACCCACCCGTGACCCACCCCGCGACCCACCCGCGACCCACCCCGCGACCCACCCGCGACCCACGCCCCGCGACCCACCCCGCGACTCACCCGCGATCCACCCGCTACCCACCCGCGACCCACCCGCGACCCTACGCGCGACCCACCCGCGACCCACCCGCGACTTTCCCACGACCCACCTGCGACCGCACCCGCGACGCACCAACATTGCTTTAACAGAAACATCGGCGCCTGCGGCGGGCTTGTTGTGTAGTTTAAGAACGTCTGCGCCTGCGGCGGGCGTCTTCAGAGCCTCGCAGACGTTCCCGCCGCCCCTCACTCTTATCCGCAACTGCGGGGTGTTTCGTGTATGTGTGTGTGTATATATATACATCGATATACACACATGCTTGGCCCTGTGATTATCTTAAATGAGGGAGAATCTGTTGAAGCTCAAGAAGACACAACCCGTCCACGACTCGTGTGTAGATCCATGCGTGTGTGGTGGAAGTGTCAAAGCGTCTGCTGTGCATCAGCGTCCAGGTTGCAGGTGTCCATTAATTAAGTCTCCTGTGAGATTACTGCTGAAGCGAGGGCAGACATGGACCCGCAGGGCGGGGATCTCCGGGGGGGCCTCGCGGGGACCCCCAAGGAGACCCTCGACTGCCTCGAAACCTGTCTCGAGACCCAGACCTCCAGCGGACTGGTAGTCTCAATGTTGGGGGCTGCTCGTGTTAGTGCACGATTCACTCAGCCGTGGCCCCACTGCTGCTCATCGACGGCTCGTGTCCCGCGCCGTGGCCAAAAACAAAGGTTTGAGTGTTTGGCTCCTGTCATTCCGTTTCGGCCTCCTGTTCCAGGCCCCCCCGAGGTCGTCGAAGAGCTTGTGAGGGCCGCGCGCTTGCCAGTTGCGAACGGGCTCGCGACTTACGGGGGCCCCGTATTGAAAATGATAGAACAAGCAAAAAACACGACGGAGGTTTGGGTCCACAGCTGTGGAGTCGTACCCCGGGGGGACGGAATTCGATATCGGCCAGCTCTTGCGGGCGGGCAGGTGCCCATGTCCGCCGCTCCCCAAGGATCGGAGGGTGAGGCTCCAGAAGTTGTGGACGTGGGTGTCGCCGGGCGGTGCAGGTGAAACTGCTGTCCGAGAGCTACAACCCCCACGTCCGTTACGGGGCCGCGATGGCCCTGGGCATCGCGTGCGCTGGCAGCGCCCAGCTCGACGCCCACAACCTGCTGCAGCCGCTCATGTCCGACGCCTCCGACTTCGTGAGGCAGGGCTCGATCATCGCCATGGGCATGCTGTACATGCAGACCTCGCCGGGGAAGACGGAGAGAGTCAAGGACTTCCGCACGAAGTTGCAGAAGGTCATCGGTGACAAACACGAGGATGTGATGACGCGGTTCGGCGCCATCCTCGCCAATGGCATCATGGACGCGGGGGGGCGCAACTCTTGCGCCTCCCTCTTCTCCAACTCCGGGGTGCTGCGGAGGGGCGCGGCGATAGGGTTCTGCCTCTTCACCCAGATGTGGTACTGGTTCCCACTGATCCACATGTTTTCCTTGACGCTGGTGCCGACAGCACTCATCTGGAGCAGGAAATAGTTGAATAACCTTAAACTGTCTGAGGTTAGCGCGGACTTCTTAGATCGGCATGGACCCCTATCTGGCGCGTGGAGCGCGCCAGGGGCGGCGTCAGAGGCGCCGCCTGAGGAGTCCAGCGCCGATACAAGGAATCCCCGCGGAGCTCCGAAAGTTTCTGCTTATGCAGTTCTTTCTTCCTCTGTCGTCGGTCTCACGGAGAAGCTCAAGATCCCGAAGAATTTCTCGCTGAAGTCTGGAGCGAAGCCGTCGTTGTTTGCGTACCCGGAGCCGCTCAAGCCGCCGAAGAAGGAGGAGCAGGCGAAGGCTGCCACTGCGGTGCTCTCCACGGCGGCCAAGGCGAAGGCGCTAAAGGAGAAGAAAGAGAAGGAGAGCGCGGACAAGAAGAAGGACGTTCCTCCTCCTCTTCCTCCTCCTCCGCCTCCTCCTCCTCCTCCGCCTCCTCCCCTTCCTCCTCCTCCTCCTCCTCCTCCTCCTCCTCCTCATCATCATCATCATCATCATCATCATCATCATCATCATCATCATCATCATCATTTCTCTTCCTCCTCCTCCTCCTCCTTCTCTTGCTCCTCCTCCCCCTCCTCGTCCTCCTCATTTTCCTCGTCGTCGTCCTCCTCCTCTTCCTCCTCCGCCTCCTCCCCATCCCCCAGAGGAGGGAGAAGCGGCACCACCACCGCCAGGTGGGGCCACCTCCAGTGCCAGACCCCCGACGTGGTGATTGTTTCCTGACGTGGACCCCCAGAAGTCCCGACCCTCTCCCCAGTCGGGGCTGAAGGGACGGGGGTCCATGCAAACGGGTGTCGGCCAGAACGCCGGATCTTGCAGGATCCTTCAGGACCAGGATCGCATTGCCCCGGGCTCGGGTGCAGGATCCTGCGGGATTCTGCACCGCCTGATTGACCCAGGTCTGGATTGACTGACCCGGGTCAGTCTTCGTCCCGAATTGCTGTTTTTACGGTCCCCGGGCCTGGTGACGGCCTCCAGAGGCCGAACATTGTCAAACACCTTCCGTCGTTGTCTGTCCATAACGAGAGAGGGTGGTGGGCCATCAGAGGGGGCACCTGCAGGAAGGGCCCCCTCTGGCTTCTCGCGCCGGTGTCGGTGGTGCCGCCCGTCCTTGCTCCTCAGGACGCCGACGTGGACATGGACGACAAGGCCCGCATGCTCGGCCCTGTGAGGTCCCAGGGGGCCCCAGGCCAGCACGGACGGACCCCCGCGGTGGCCATAAGACACGCTCCCGACTGGGTGGATCACGGGCAGCTTTAGGTACCATTCCCAGACCCGTCTCGCGAAATGCAAGGCGGAGGTTCTTCTCAGGTTTGGGCGGGGGCCCTCGCCGGGCCCCGGGACCGTCGAGACACGACTCAGGATCAAGAAGGAAGCACACTTGCCCTGGGAAGGGTCGGGACTGGGGAAAGGGTCGCGCATGAAAAATCAAGGCGTCGGATGCCTGGGCGGGCAGCTTGGCTTTCCACTCGGCCTCTGGCAGGTCCGCTGGGCCGTTTCTTCGGGTGGGCGAGGGGTCGCCTTGGCCCCTCGGGGGTGGCCGGCCGGCCAGCGGGGCGAGGCGTCCGTGAGCAACTCCGTGGCCGGGGTGTCGGTGGCCGGCATGTCCGCGGCCCCCGCCATGTCCGTGACGGGCGTGTCGGTGGCGGCCACGCCGGGGACCACCGTGGTCGGTTCCACCCTCAGTGGTTCCGGGAAGCGACCGGGCCGTTGCTTTCCCGTTTTCGTTTTGTCGTCCTTTTTGGCCGATTCAGGCGCCGTGTTTGTTGGATTGTTCCGGTTCCGTCGCCGTTGTTTTTTCCAGTTTCGTCTTCAATGTTGGAGCAGTGCGTTCCGCTTTTCGGCGAATTTGTTTTAAGCTTATCCGATTCCTGGCGACGGCTTGAGAACCTGCCCGCGCCGCCTCCAAGAGCCACTAAGGCTCCACCTACACCGAGTCCGTGGCCGCGAGCGACCTGGGCAGCGAGATGATGGAGGCGTCGGGGTCGTCGATCGGTCGAGTGCCAGGGTTTCTTGGGTTGCTCTCGCGGCACCTGTCGTGAGTCGGCGACGGCCGATGACGACCGACGCTTGGTGACGACCTGTCGGCGACGACGGAAGACGACTACAGACGACGACGAACTCGCCCCCCCCGACTACGGCCGACCGACGGCGACAGATGCCGACTGTCGGCGTCCTGTCGCTGGGGAAACGGAGGCGTTGGGGGGGTGCTTTTCGAGGATACACAAACGTAGATGAGGGCGCGTGGATTGCGACGGACCCCGCTGCCGTGCAAAGCTGGCGCGCTTCGTCGGCAGTGCGGGCGGCGTTGGCTTTATGTTTCAAGTTTTTTGCCACTTCGCCCCGTGGAAATGGCGCCCACGCGCTTGAACCCCGGACCCGTACTGTAGTTTCGTGTCTTGGCGACTCGGTGACGACCCCGCCGCGGGGCGTTCAAGGTTGAGTGTTGCCAGCGGCCCATTATCGGCAATTTTTTACATCGATCTGGCCACGGAACTGCCGCCGATCGTTCAAGGCTGAACGATCCACACGGCGTCAGAAGCCAACGGCGGGGTCGTCCCGACACGAGCCGGCCGTGGTCCAGGCCCACCCCCCAACAGGCGCGAAGATAGCCGCGCTTCGCCTTGCGGTCTGGGGCAGGCTGGTCGCCCTTCCCAAGGAGGGCGGCGCCTGGGCGGGAGAGCGCGAAGAGGGCCGCGCATCGCGGGGCGCGATGCGCGGAGTTGGGTGGCCGAGGCAGTCTCCGAGATCCGACGTCGCGAACAGCATGCAACATTGTGGGGGGGGGGGCGACACCAACACCACCAGGGGGCCACCTCCATTGAGGAGGTCCACGATGCCTCTCCGAGGCGGGGATCGGGATGTCCCGAGCGAGAGGGGGAGCCACGGCACCAGGGGGCCCCTCCCTGGCTCCTCCCGCTGGTGGTCCCTGGTGGTGTTGGTGACGGTTGTCCATGTTCCTACTCATCGTGTCAAATCACGACCCGAGCCCAGGACCCCATCTGTCTGCGGCATGTGTCGAGCAGGGAACGCTTGGCTCGAAAAATGGGGCAGCGAGGATCTCAGGGGTCCGTCGAGGTTTTGATTCGTAGGTCGGCCCCGTCAAGGGTACCCGAGTGGCCTGTGTGCAGCGACCCATGCCCTACACGTTCCTGTGTGAGCGTGGCCCCCGGAAGGGTCTGGTGCTCTCGCGTGCCCTCCCCAGTCGAACTCGGTTGTGCTTCTCGTCTGGCGTGTGCCCGAGCTCTGGTCGTCGAAACTGGGCGTCGGGCCAGCCGGGCCGCGATCGGGCGGCAGTGCAGCCCCGCGGGGCACGGCAGTGGCGGCTGTCGCCGTCGTCGTCGTCGTCGTCGTCGTCGTCGTCGTCGTCGTCGTCGTCGTCGCCGTGGTCATCCGAGGTGCACAGGGGGGGCAGGGAGGAGTAGGAGGACGAGGAGGAGGAGGAGGAGGGGAGGAGGAGGAGGAGGGTGAGGGAGAGGGAGGAGAAGAAGGCAGAGGAGGAGAAGGAGGAGGAGAAGGCAGAGGAGGAGAGGAGGAGGGGAGGAGGAAGAGGAGGAGGAGGAGAGGCCCGCAATATCCCTCCGAGGTGGATGCGCAGGCCGTCGCCCCCGAGCGGGCCTCGCCCGCGCCCGCGGCGGAGAGCGCCGAGAAGGCCGACGCCGCCGCGGCGGCGCCCGCGGACGGCCGGGTCCCCGCCCCCGGCGCCCACGGCCGGGTGGCGGCGGCGATCGGCGGCCGTCGGCGGCCGACGGCTGGCGGCGAGCGGCGGCGGGCGTCGGCCGTCGGCAGGGGCAGCGGCGGCCGACGGCTGGCATCGGGTGGCGGCGGGCGGCGGCGGACGTCGGCGGTGGGCGGCCAGCGGCGGCGGCGGCCGTCGACGGCCGTCGAGGTCCGTGTCCTCTGCCCCCTTTCCCTCCTCCTCCTCCTCCTCCTTCTCCCCCTTGTTTTCATACCATGGGCCTCCTCGCCTCGGTTTAGCCCCCCTTCTCGCCCCGCCCTTTTGGGGAGCCGACCTCCCCCCCCTCCTCCGCCGTGCCCCCCCCCCCGCCTCCCCTGCCGGCACCTGCCGCAGCGGCCCTCGACCCCAGGTCCTGGGCCCAAAGCCCGCCCAGCCCGTGGCGCAGAGCCCGGAGGAGGGCGAGGACGGCGAGCCACTGGGGGCAGGGCCGCGGCGGCCCTGCGGCGGCCCACGCCGCGGTGCGAGCGACGAACGACGAGGGCGAGGGCGAGGAGTACAGCGAGGACGAGGGACGAGGAGGCAACGGCGAGGGCGGCGACGACGGCGAGGGACGAGGACGTGGAGGATGGCGATGGCGAGGAGGAGGAGGACGCAGAGGAGGAGGAGAAGGAGGAGGAGGAGGAGGAGGAGATGATGCGATGAGGAGAGGGGCCGGAGGAGAAGATGAGCATGCGTGTGAGGAGCGGGCGGGAGGGGAGGGGGAGAGGAGCCGGGCAAGAAGGGGGAGGAGGAGGAGGAGTAGGAGGAGGAGGAGGAGGAGGAGGAGGAGGAGGAGGAGGAGGAGAAGGGGGGAGGCAAGGGGAGGGGAATGGGATGGGAGTGGGAGACAGGGAGTAGGAGGGGAGGGGGTGGCGGAGGAGAAGGGTGGGGGGCAGCAGGGGAGGGGAGGGGAGGGGAGACCACCAGGCTGACCAGGTCGTGCAAGCGGAGCGGTGAGACGCGAAGCGTGTAGAGTGTAAAACGATCAACCATCAAGGTGTCTGACTTTGGATGCCGCCGCGCCCTGATGGCGGCGCGGCAATGTTGTGATTGTGCTTGTGTCTGGTGGGGCCGTGCTCGGAAGGTCCTGAAGACTGGCCCTCGAGCCTGCAGTTGGCTACCCTACCCTGGGGCGCCTGGGACGACCAGCATGCTGGGCCCCTGGAGTTCGACGATAGCTTCAGCGGGCATCGACGTTCCCTCGCGGATCGAACACAAGGATCAGGCACGATACGATTGGCAGCCTCAAGCGTTGCCGCCACCGCTGGCCGTACGCAACGGTGGGGCCCTTGGCAGCTTAGCGTCCGTCCGAGCTCTGAGCCTCTGTTTGGCCGTGGGGTGGCACGGCCCTTGCAGCCGCTTGGCGAAGTTGGCTGGGGTCCTGGCCTGTGCAAGGCATGCACTGCATGGATTGCCACTGGGTTCCATGATTACCATGCTATGTGCAGTGGGGGCCACGTGTCTAGTGGGGGAGGGTTGTCTGTACGAACGGGCGGGGCGGCCACTCATCGTATCCCAATGCGTCATACGACAAACACCATCCTATGGAATGCGCTTGCAACCTTGCATCCGACAAATGCCCTTCGCAGTCTTACAACGTCAGCGCGTCCGCCAACTCGTGAGTCATCGCCCCCCAGTTTGGCAAACTTGTCCGCCCAAGCAGTCCCGAGATAGTACTCCCAGTGGTGCTGAGCATTCGCCACTTCTTCCACCGCTTCTGTGTGGGCAGGGTCCCAGTGCAGGTCGGGCGGTGGTCGCCCTTACAAGGATGCAGCGATGCTCCTCCGCAAATCTGCATAATGCGCCTGAGCGTCGTAGCGATCTCCGTGCCACTTCCTTCGGCCGCGGGCGAGGACGAGTCCGCCACAACGAGTGAGACATCGCGGCGTAACCTGAGCGTTGCCAGTAGAGCTGCACGTTCAGCTCGTCCTACCGTCTGGATGGGTCCTTCAAGAGGTCCTTGCGCAGCGCGGACAGTATGACCGTTTTCACCTAGCTGACAACACCCTCATTCACATCGTCTTGATTCTGGCAATGACGGGGTCAATCCAGACCCATCAATATTTACAAGGGAGCACTACCTGGTGTTTGCCCGAGCTCCAGTTGCGCCATAGCTTCAATTCGATCCCCGTTGATACCTTATGGATGCGGACATAGCGGAATACATAGGCAAGCGCCCAACCTATCGCAGTCAGGGCCAGCTAGCTTTTGATACCCTTCTTCACGTAGATACTCGCACACGTGATTCAACTTGGGGTCCAACAGGAGGTCATCATCATTCGTGCTGCCTTCCAAACAGGCACAGCCAAACAAATCATGCCCCATCGTGGCGCGAGCAGACCCCCACCAAGTGCACGCTGGAGCTATATTAGACCCTGCTTGGTGCTGTCGGTCTCTCGCCCAAATACCTCCAGCACAGCTCGAGGACTGCACCCGCAAAACGCGGGTACTTGACGGCAGCCTTGGATCCATCCGAGCACTTGCGCAGGACTCGAAGCCAGATCTTTCATTTCCATGAAAGACATCTCGATGGTGCTCCAATGCTCTCCTGGCCTGCCATCTCTTCACTCTTTGATCCATTCACCGACTCATGAAGTACTGGCAAGAGATTGATGGCCAGGCCCTCTTCGTCCACTACTAGCATGCTAGACTGCATGCTCCAACCAATTCGATCGAGACAAAGCCAGGGTACCTCCAGAGACCCACGAACACCTGCCCAAGACATCTTCCCCTGAACCTGACTCTTAAGAGCCTGCCAGGCCCGTTGGGCAGGCCCAGTGGAACTGGCTGGCCCCAACCGAAGTTGGCGTAGGTCCTGAGGGGCCCCACTGTGGCATGGCATCTGGGGTCACACATCCTGTGTCCTTCTGGGTGGCGAGGTAGAGGGCGAGGGAGGCGTTGCCCGAGGTGCGCCCGCATCCCATGCCGGCAGTCTGTCTCATGATGGCCAGCTTTTTGCATGCGCACCAGCCGCGGCCATTCCACGACCATCTGGGGGAAGCAGGCCCATGCGCCACAGAGTTGCGACCTTCGACCCCGCAGTCGCAGAGAGGCAGCCGCAGTCGTGGCGATCGATCTCGAAGTTTCCACGTCCGAGCGACAGCTCGCGTGCGAACTGGTCGAGCCCCTGGCATTTCTTGTCCGAGATTTCGACACCATGTCTTCGCAGCGACTCGAAGTCGATCAGCTTGCCTTTGAATCCAGCACGCGCCTTCCTTGCGTTTGCAAGCCACCCAGCCTCGCCTGTCACGATGATCACGCCCAGCTTCCTGACATCCCGCCCGTGCAAGTTGGCGGCGCCATTGACGCGCGTGCTAGTCCATTGAAGCGTGCTGTCGTCTACGAGCGTGCGTCGTCACATCTTGCTACTTGTTGTGGACGCGCACTATGGTACGATCCGTGAGGATGGTAAGCGATGTTGTTGTGTGCGTGCACCTTGCTAGTATACCCTGTCGCGCACGTGCAGGTATGCTCCAGAACGAATCTACTTTTACTGAACTGGGCTGTCCATACGTTTCAAGAGGCCGCCATAGCACACGCGTGGAATATAGTGCTCTCGCCTCGCCCGTCAAGGCAGGAGAACAGCGCCGTCGCCGAACACTCCCATGTTTACACGATGGCCACCGCGTGCTCACTTACATGACGCGTCACTCCAGCCTGTAAGTTATGTTCATCTGCCGAGAACGTCGTTGAATCACCTTTACGAAACCCCATGTGCGCAGACGACCGTGCGTGCTCACCCGTCGCCTCGATCTGCGTCGACGAAAACGCGACCATATTCTGCTTGTGCTCTCCATCAGATTGACCAAATGCGCTCTACCATCTGGTTTGCTTCAGTTTGACAATAGCATTGACGATCCTGTGTGCTGGCCATACCAACATGCGCTCGAATATCACGTATAGTATAGCCCACACCTCCAGACCTTCATTCGGTCAATAGCAGGAGCTGTGAGGACGCATCCCTGTGTATCCGACAAATGTGTTCCGCGAAAACGTCTGCGAAGCCTTCCGGAAATCCGTTGCCGTGATACAAGAAAGTTTATCCCAGTTAGCAGCCCCTCTAGGTAGCTCCATGGATCCAGTGTCATGGCATGACCAGGCCTCCCTCCATGTCTACGTCTCATCATCTGCGATCTGGTATGACTGGGTGCGCACTATGTGTGATATGGTGGCAGACGTGGCCTTGACTCGCGAGGCCTTGTGAGCCTTGCCAGCGCCGTTCAAAAACGCCGAACCGATCCATTCCTTCAATTGCTTCTCGCTCTCCCTCGGCTTCTCCAGAATGAAGTCGTCAGCACGCTAAGCAGTTCCCCAACGATAACTGTTCAGACTCAGGATTCGCGAACGAGCTCATGCCGGCCTGAAAGAAACATGATCAGGATTGATCATCCAGCAGTTCCAACACTTCGTTGTCTTCCAGCATGGGCCGATAAAACCGGTCGACTGGTGGATTGCCCTCGCGAAGACGCACCCGTCCCTCATCAGTTTAATCATAAGCCACCGCTGACGTCGAAGGCGAGGCGCAATCTGGAAGCCTTGTCATGCCTCTCTCCCTGCCTTGGTCCTCCGGTACTCGTTTATCATCTTGGCCAGGACGACCTCAATCGAATGACAAGGTTGGACCGGGGAGCTGCCGCTAACCAGGCTTTGGCCTTTGGGCCCTATGCCAACCGACTCTGCTTGATGTCCCACTCGGCCTCGACGAGCTTCGTCTTGACGGGGCTTTCTCAACTAACGTACAATGCAGCAGTCATCCCCGCGAGGGCCCTTCTTCGTAGTGGCTCCTGTTGAATTCCCGAGACCACCATATCCTATGCGTGTCGAAGCTCCTGTTCACTATTCACCGCCATCTCCTGCAAATTCGGGCGATGCCAAGCTATCGGTGTTCGCAAGCACCCAGTTTGCTGTCCTTGGGGTATTGTTTTGGGGTCGACGGGTACACGAACACATACCTCCTGATGCCCGTCGCTGATGGGCATACAACAGGTAACCCAGATGCTTGGAACATTGTTGGAGCACTCACCTTCTTCGCTAGCGTAGATGGTATGGCGAAGTAATCACACGTGCTACCCTCAGTTGACATGGTGGTGCGACATGTGGCTTGCATTGGTACAACAACTGTGTTTCTGAGGTTTTCAAGCCATGCTGTACATCAAGTGTGGCCGAATTCAGGGGAGGAGGGAGGAGGAGGCGGAGGCGGAGGAGGCGGAGTAGGAGGAGGAGGAGGAGGAGGAATAGGAGGAAGAGGAGGAGGAGGAGGAGGAGGAACAGGAGGAACAGGAGGAACAGGAGGACGAGGACGAGGACGAGGAGAAGGGCGGGAGCGGAGGAGCAGCACGAGAAGGGGGCGAGGAGGAGGAGAAGGAGAAGCTTGCGGAGGAGGGCAAGGATGGGCAGGAGTGGGAAGAGCATGTTGTGGGGGTGGGGT